GCTTTGCCTGTAAACAAACACTTTACTGTTGAACCTTTTGCCTAATTAATCTTCTTCATGGTTCATTAGAAGAGGCAAGGAAAGTGGGAATGCAAATAATACCGAGACAATGCATTCTGAGGAAAACCAATTAATCAACCTTTCTCTAAACATTTAAAACATGAAAAAGTAAAGTTAAAGTTCTTCATAAATAATCACACTAAGTGTGCACTTTGTCTTTACATGTTATGCAATCATGAAATAATATTAAAACTGTATTCAGCTCTTTCACTCATTATACTGTAGTTTAGTGCAGGTTTAGCATGTGAGAATATTCCTCATGGCCACTAACTCATCATTTGATCTATTTACATGAAAAATCCACAACATTTTATTGTAATATTTTACTTAGTTTTAATGATAACCCTATTTTAGCACAGAGTAAATAGCCCTTTATTAGCCTGTAACCTTGTGTTGTGTTTTTTTAGAATTTGCATGTGATATTTAATCTTACAAATCTATGTACACAGCTCTTGTTCTCATTTAATGGATTGGCCTTATCATTACCTTTATTTATTACACTAATTTATTACACTGTGTGACTCCCAGACTGCTTTGATCAGATTTGATGATATGGAGACTCCTTATTATTAAGGTGTCAGTTGTTACTCTTTAGTATATTGCACCTGAAGTATTACTGAGAATGACAACAATGGCTGAAAAGACCAGTAATACTGTGTAGGTCCCCCTTGTGCCACCAAAACAGCCCTAACCCCTCAACACATGAAATCCACAAGACCTCCGAATAACTTCTGTATCTAGTATGCATTTTATACACCTCGCTTTAAATATCCAACAAATAATGGACTGCATTTACTGGCCGAAAACAACATTACTAGCAGCATTTGTTTAGGTTGTTTAGAAGTATTTTGAATGTTGTGCTTCTGCACATAAGTAACATCTAGATGTATCAAACATGGAAATAAATTTGACCTGTGACATGAGTGGGACATGGCAGGGAAAAATCTAATTTAGGCACTCAAATGGATGGTTGATAATAAAATAGCTTTAATGGACAAGGGCTAACACGTTAAAAATACAATTCGTATTGGTGCACTTGCCTTCCTGAAGATGTTTGGACACACGGTGAAAAGAGAAAGATCAAGCCACAAGGTAACCAGGCCTAAATGAAGAATTTGATCTTTCTTGTTTTTATAAGACACATGGCATTGGTTTAAGAGTTGTATTTTATCTCTGTTTTTGCTGTACTATGAACTGTCCAATTATCTGATAATTCATGTTTATTGTTGTGGTGACATGGTTAAATGGTTTTAATGTCTTTTTTATCATAGCCTCCTCTCATGGCTTGACAGGTCCTTTCATACTTTCACTCAACACCGGTGTGTGGAATTACTATTTATTTGTCTGACTTCATTGTGTGTCCAGATATCCTAAGTAAGACAAGTGTGCCGATACATGCTTATGTATTTTTAATGTGTTCACCCATATCCATTACATGTCATTATCAACCATCCACTTGATGAAATTGGATTGTTTCAGCCACGTCCCACTCAGGGGCAAGGGCAGATTTTTTTCCCATGCTTGATACGTGTTTTTCCTTTGTGGTGGTGAGGGATGCCAGAAGTGCTCCTGTTTCAAATTGTTTTTCTTAACTTCTAGATGTCTTTTGAGCTTTCAGCCCAGTTGCCCATGAATTACATTCATTGTGATATTTGTGCAGCGAATAACTTTTGTCTACTGCAAATGCAGAAAGTAGCTTGAAACACAATAGCACTTGTTGTCACACTTGGTCTACTAATTAGGGGGCTGAGACTGCATACCTCCCTTATGGCCTTTCAGAAGTGACTATTAGACACTTTGGGGGTTTACTTTTTAAAAATACTGACTTGTTACTAACAGTGTTCACTCCTTCCAATTACATAACAGTTTTAATTGCAAGAGTGCAAAACCTCCTAATGAATGCAGATGAGATTAATTAGGTTTAAGTGTGAACAAAAAAAAGGTTTGTTTGTTATAGGCAAGGTCATTAACCAGCATCCTTTAGTAATGACATTACAAACAGGGCTCATTAGCACTGTTCCCAGGAGTCAAAGAGGCAGCAAAGTTTTCTTGAGTCTGGGGTTACTGTGTCCTATTTGATAATAAAATCCACAGGGAATACTATACTATTCCTCTGTTGATCAGAGGATCACTCCTAAATTCATTGACAAATTTCTTAATACATAGACATAACAGTCAACAGTTTTTAAGGCTGTTGGAAATAAAGGATTGTTTAAATCACTAATCTCACACAGTCTCAAAATGGCAATGTTACAGTTACTGATAGAACCATGAATGAAACAAATTCAATTAAGCAAGTGAATGTAGTTTAAATTTCTGTTTCAGACATTGCTGATTAGATTCAAGTGTTATTTATTATACTTTCAATATTTTCCTCTGGTTAAGATAAAGTTGAAGTTTTATAAAGCGCTACAGTATGAGAAGTTTAGAAGCAGCCTAAAACAATAATTAGGCTATTGTTTTGTCTGCAAGCTACTGTATGTTGGAAGACATCACACAACTCCAAGGATAAACCTTTAATTTCAGTAATAAGGTAATGTACTGCTCACAGTATTGTACTGATTATTATGTGATGGCTCCTTGCTTTTCAGTCTAAGAGCTGGGCTGTGTGATTAATAGACTGGATGTTATCAATGAAGATCACTGAGGAGAACAGACTGTCCACTGTACACAGCAGTTCAGACATGCAGACACTCATTGGCAGCTACTAATTCGGCATAACACGAAGTCATACTGTATAAAACAACAAAATTGGTGAGCCAAAAGTTCACTGTAGTCTGTTGCATGTTTGACTTCATGATAATAATATATTATATTCATCATTTTATTGGTTCCAATAACCATTCACAGTATGAGACTGGAAACAGTAACGTAATAGGTAATATGATATTTTAGATGATGATATTTTAGATTAAAGAGATTTTACACAACATGGTCCATAGTGGACATGAGGAAGGAGAGGAGAACTCATCAGCCACTGTTCATCCGGGGGCTTGAAGTGGAGAGGGTGAGCAGCTTCAAATACCTGGGTGTCCACATCAGTGAGGACCTCACTTGGACACTTAACACCACACAGCTGCTCAAGAAGGCCCACCGGCGGCTGTACTTCCTGAGGAGGCTGAGGAGGTTTGGCATGTCACCTAGGATCCTTTGCAACTTCTACAGCTGCGTCATTGAGAGCATCTTGACCAGCTGCATCACTGTCTGGTATGGTAGCACTACTGCTATGGACCGCAAGCACCTGCAGAGAGTGGTAAAGACTGTGGAGAAGATCAGAAGGACTCCACTCCCCTCTCTGCAGAGAATTTACTACCACAGGGTGCGTAGGAAAGCTGCCTCCATCCTCAAAGATCCCACCCACCCCTGTGGACTGTTTGCTTCCCTACCCTCTGGCCGGAGGTTCAGAAGTGTGAAATGCAGGACCACTAGACTGAAAAACTCTTTCTTTCCATCTGCCATCAGACTCCTAAACAGCTGAGGAGTTTATTACCAGGAAATATGTCATATACTGTCGACTTGTGTGCACATGCATAATTGCACATTGACTGTTGACTGCTGCACATGCTTCTCCCATGCAGCATACATTCTCTGTTATATTCTTATATATTTTTATTATAATGCTGCATTTGCTGCTTAAAGTGCCTTAGATTTTGTGTTACTTATTTATCTACTTTATATTTCACTTGTATTTTTGTGGCATTCATGTGGACGGCAAAGTAAGAATTTCATTGTACAGGGAAACACATTTCCTAACTGTGCATATGACAAATAAACACTTTGAATTGACTTGAGAGTGGCTGTCCTCCAACCCACAGACTGTGGATTTCAACCATGTCTTTTCTCAGGGCAGTTTTAAATGACTCTGTCATAATTTATCCTCTCAGCTGCTAGATAATTGGATTTCAGATGTTTCCTTATATCACATCAGTGTCTACTTCATCTTTCTAGCACTGGTTTATGTGGTTACAATATTATTCAATATTTTACTAATGTACGTACACAACTACCACAGGCTACATACAAAATTTCTGGCTGTGGTCAACCTGAGAGTAATTTATAAAATTTTGAACACAAGCACTATTTTCACAGTGTTCCTATTTAATAACAACTTTGATCTAATGTTCAAAATATTTAAAATCAAAACTAACTATACTTCAACCTTTCACCCTTTGGAAGATTTCCTGCATGTATGAACTACCTGTTGTCTCTCTGAAAATGAATATGTTAGCCTGTACACTCACCTCAGTCTTAGGTTTATTTTTCAGTTGTCAGCTTCTAAGCAAGATTAATCACATTATATAATCCATTAGTCTTCACTTCATCTGAGGTTCTTTTTTTTTTTAATTGATGGTTGGATAGTAGAAACAAATTAAGACATAACTCTTATAAAACTTTTACTTTAGTATTACATGTAACGTTGTATATTCATAATGTTGGGGAAGCTCCTTTGAAAGCATAGATTTGCAAGCTACTAACACTTCAGACTAGAAGAAGCTGAACTACAGCAAAGCTACCCCAGGGAGAAAACTAGTTTGGCTATTTAAGGTAGCAGGGTAAGGTAACTAATTAACTAAGATAAGAAAGATTAAAAAAAAAAAAAAAAAAAAAAAAAAATTTTCTTTTTTTGACAAAAAAAGTTTTTCTTTTATGGACCAAAAGTGTTTGTCATTTCAGTAATTAAGTACATAATAATAATAATAATAATGATAAGAGGAAGAAAAACAACAAAAAGAAGAAAAGACAAAGAAGAAGAAGTTTATTTAACCACTCGAATCACTATACAAATATAGGTGTAGTTGAACTACCATTAAGCTACCACAAAGTGTAGTTAAACTACTAGTTTAATTATACTTATTCCACTACTCAGTAATAGCAAAACTATATTAAATTCACTAAATTATGTTTAGGTTCTCGACATGAAGCGGAACAAAATGTATGCATCGACGGAACTATTTTACCGCTGCACTGTTTTCCTTGGCTCATATGTGTCGTCTCCCACGTACAAAGTTTAATGTGTGGTTGGATAACAGAAGTCCAGACTTACAGTACATAGGCTATGGAAATTTAATTTCCCAGTGAAATAGGATCGGGTGAGAACAAGTGAGACAAATGTGCATATTTGTGTTAAATAGCTCATCTTTTGCTAATGTTTGCTAGCCCGTGCAGCACCGCAGCTGAACGACGTAGGTGTGATGACAAGTATTTTCTTTGCTAGATTTATTTCGTGGAGGTATTCTTAGAGCCTGTGTACTGCAGTTAAGTAAAGGTAGCAGTACCCAGGTTTAAAAGTAATCCATTAACATTACAAGGTTAAATCTTGAGTAACGGCGAGATTAAAAAAAAAATTGTGTAAGTGGTACATGCATGCAGATTCCGTGAAGGCACAAGACGATTTTGGCGTGGTATGACACTTGTTATCCAGTGGCAGATAGCATTTCCTAACAGCAAATGCCGTTTCGATGAACCATTTCATAGCGATCAATACATTTGGTCATTGCTCTTTTTGATTAGTTGTTCGATCAAGTGTGATGCTTTTGTAACAATTTATTGACTCGTGCAACTTAGAAAAGTGGCATGCAAAATGCCACTTTTCTAAGTTGGCGTTACTGCAAGTCTTTCTTTCGAAATCGCAACCACTAACTGTTACAATAACATGTGGGGCACATTTGTTGCACAAGTAAATTAATTGTTGCTAAAAACAATAAAAGCTTTTTCATAGAGGTATTTGCTGATATAAAGTTTTTTAAAAATTCCCTTACAAGACAACAAACTAGTAACACACATCAACCATTATGGTTCCTAAAACACAAGAACAATTATTCAAAATGAAATACATCATAAAATTCATGACAGAATGTAGCAGTACCTTACTAAGCAAATAAGCCCTCTCAAAAATATCAAATAAGCAGTGGGTTACGTTATTACAGCTTTTACAGCTGGAGATTTAGAGATAAATTTCACTGCCTAAACATGCTGTGCAAGTGCCACATACTGTGGTTGTTATGAAAAAACTACCTTATCACTTGCATAAAATCATGTGTGTTCCTCAGCAGAGTACCTGAATCAGCACTGTGCAGTGAAACAGAATGGCGTCCCCTTCACCCCATGACCGTAGCCGGAAAGATGACGAAGATGACCCTGTTGAACAACCTTAATGCATGAAATCTTACACATGCACTTTCATTTAGAAATATTGGAAATGACTAAAACCATACAAAAGATGATCTCTCGCACTGGCTGTGCCGAGCTACATTATGCTGTGCAAGAGTGCATGGCTGAACACCAGGACTGGCGAGCATGCCAGAACCAGGTCCGGTCTTTCAAAGACTGCATGATAAATTTCCAGAATGCCCGGAAAGAACAGTTGATGAAACAGCAGCCAGCTGCCACTGACACTGCACCCAGCTGAGCTCGCAAAATCAAACAAACACTTTAACACACACAAACACAGGTGCTGGGGACAAAGGTGTTTTTGCTGTATGTCATCTTTATTTCTTTTCTTTTTTTTTTTACCTCAAACATTGATATACCTCACAAATCCAGTACTAATCATTTGGGATACATTTGTTGTGTCAAATGGACACTTCTTCAAAGATGTTACAAGGAAGGACAGAGCACTAACCCACACTTTTACTGATCTTTTAAGGTGAAATGTCAAAGATATTAAACTAAATAACAGGAGAATTACTGCTTTGAGTGTTCTATGCCTCCCTCAACCAGTCAAATTCACAGGAACAGGACAGATGTCAGGTCACTGACCATGACCTTTCACCTTTGATCATTGATCTGTTCATTGTTGAGTGAAAGTGGACATTTCTGCCAAAGAAATTCCCTCTGAAATAGCATGAAGCTCATGTACAGGTAACTGACAATAATCCCACCTTAAAAGTTTTTCCAGCTACTCCACATTGCGAGATAGGTTAGTACATCGTCATCTTTCGGCCAATACCATTTGGCTTTCTTGATCTTTGAAGGGTACTTATAAATGTGGTTTCTGCAATCACTGTGCTAACATAAAAGAATGTAAACAGTTTTTTTGATTTTAGAATCCACAAGATTTATCATATCAGATCCTTAATTGTAACAGTACATTTCTCATATATCGCCTACCTTGTACTTGTGGTTGCCATGCTAAGAGATGACATAAAGACAGACTTTCTGAACATAAAAATGCAATTAGGAAAGGCATCTTGGCAAATACAGACATTTCAAAGTTGCACACAATAATATTGACAGCCTTAAGGTTGTAGAAATAAGAACATTCAGGGTGGTGACTGTTTGTATTTGTTGCTTCAGAGAGAAACTTTCTACATACAGTAGATCAGTTGCAGGCTTCATCTTATCTAGAACTGAATGATGATATTGACTTTAGTCTCAAATTGCTGAGAGTCCTAGAGACCTGCTCCATGTTGGCTAACTCCATATTGATAACTTTGTCATGTATGCATGCTCGAACAACAGAGATGAATTAGTAATATGTTTAAATAGTAAAAAGTTTGTTTGTTACAACCAAGATCATTAACCAGCATTCTCTGGTGATGGCAAGACTAATCGGGCCCATTACAACCATAGCCTGCTTCAGAATAATTATACCTTTAGGGAACAATATGTTGTTTCCTCACTAAGTTCACAAAACATTTTGTTAGTTATAATATATGTTATGGTTGTATAGCATGTGCAAATAAAATGACACTAAAGCAAGTTTAGGTGTCATCTCAGCAGCTGTTCTACTTTGCTTTGTTTTGATAAGGTTGCATGTGTGTTTTAAAAGAATTGGTGTGAGATGCTCAAACTTACCGAATCATAATTAGATGTTTGTTTTGAGCACAAGAAGGGAATAATCAGATTCTCTTCATGGATTACATTAATGTTGTTAATAGAGCAGGGTCAAAATGACTTTCTCTGTATCAAAATGATGCTTTGAGGATTGATGAGGAAAGTATATCTTCCACTGTCCAGGGGTCACACATGCACCCGTCTGCCTACTGCTTTTTAGATGCAGAATCAATTAGAGCTGCTGAAGAAGAAATCCTGAAGAGAACATCATGTAACATCATACTTATTATGCTTTTTTGTTTTAAATTTGTACGTTTAAACATTGCAGGTAGAACTTACTGTGAATATGTTTTATATAAAATGAAATAAATTCATCCAACTGGCATGAAAATTATGATTGTCTCTGTTTAGGTCTAATGTTCAATATGATATGATTCCCCTGTTCTTTAGACTGGAGAGCTTTTAGGCAGAGGCCGTCCTCCAACACACAGCGTGTGGAGTTCAACTATGTCATTTCTCAGGACTGTTTTAAATGACTCTGTTATCATTCATCCTCCAGACTTCTATATTATTGGATTTCAGACATTACCCTACATCCGTGTCTACATCATCTTTCTAGCATTTGTTTATGTGGTTACAGTTCTGTTTAACAGTTTGGTGATCTATGTAATTGTCATTGTTTACACACCCAAATTTTTGGCTGTGGGCAACCTTGCAGTAATTGATGTAATCCTTAACTCCTGTATTATTCCCTGTATTATTTCTCATGAAGGATAACTTTGTTCCATTTAACTTATGTCTGCTACAAATGTATGTTTACTTTACTTTTGGAACTTTGGAGTCATTTGCTCTTTCTATACTTGCGTATGACAGGTTAATCGCAATATGTTTCCCTCTGCGTCAGAAAATTTTATGACTATTTGAAAAGCATTGCACATACAGTTCTCAGTTCATTCTGTGGAATATGGTTGGTGTGTAGAACGTTGGGTTCATGGTTGAATATCTTTTAACCAGTGCTGTCTGATGCATTTTTATTTTGTACTGCTATGTATGCTGTTGAGCAACTATACACCTGTATACAGACTCGCCTGTAATGATTACACAATGCAGTGGACTGTGGCCAATTCACCTACTTTCTTGATTCTTGTTGTACCCTTTACTTTAATTTGTCTGTCTTATGTCAGCATCCTGGTGACTGTGTTCAGGATGAAATCTTTAGACAGTTTACATACAACTCACAAATTTATTTGAATGAGACAAAACATCGCAGAGTTTCCCTAGGTTATTCTAAAGTTGTGATTATTTGAGTAACCTGGCAAAAAGTCTCCAATCGAAACCAGCAAATCAGTGACAATGGCTGCGTCCGAAACCGCATACTGTGACAGTACGTACTGAAAGAGATGAAGTACCTACTTACTGACCGTTAAAACGGTAGGTACTGTATAATATGAAGCCTGGTAGTATGAATGAGATTCGGACGTACTACATCCGCCATGTTGATACATCACGTGACATACGTTTTCATAGCAGCGCGAAACTTTAAAGAGCCTGTCAAGTCTTCGTTGGATAACTCCTCTCCCGGGGCATCATGGGATAGTGAAGTGTCCATATGCACACTGCAAAATCCAACCGGAAGCAGTAGGAGTAGGTCATCCGGGTACTTTTCGCCTACTGTTTTTGGAATACTACGAATCCGGACATACTACTCGCCTTGCCTACTGCTTTTCGCCTACTATACAGTATGGTAGTAGGCGGTTTCGGACGCAGCCTAAGTGACAATGATTGAAAGATTGCTGATCATCATTAGGGCTGTTTTTTGTCTGTGTTCATAAGGGGAAACTCCACATTTTCCTGTAATGAACTGTGACAAAGTTCTGCCACAACAGGTTGTTTAGTGAATTTCCAACAATTTACCACCAAGCAACTAACTTTGTGTGTCTTCCATTTGGTTAGTGTTCAGCGGGTTTGCCTGAGCTTGTTTAATGTGGATAAAATGTCGACCGATACAGAATTAAAGAAACCGTATTCAGTGGATATTGTGATTTCAGATTTTCCAAATATAATAGTAGACCTTGTAGTGCTGTTATAGATTAGTGACTTGTCTCATTTGTGGTTCAGCTTGTACAGTAAGTACAACACTAGCGCACAGACACTGATCATAATTCCATTTCTTATTCTATGTCCTCCCTTGTGGACAAATACAGTTTTCTTCCTTGTTTTATTAGTTTGTCAAGCAGAAACTGAAGCTGCTGCCATTTAAGTATGATGAGGCAGGAATTTATTATATGAAGAAATAAAGAGTACAGACCTTAATGCATGAAATCTTACACATGCACTTTCATTTAGAAATAAGATGACGAAGATGACCCTGTTGAACAGATGATCTCTCGCACTGGCTGTGCCGAGCTACATTATGCTGTGCAAGAGTGCATGGCTGAACACCAGGACTGGCGAGCATGCCAGAACCAGGTCCGGTCTTTCAAAGACTGCATGATAAATTTCCAGAATGCCCGGAAAGAACAGTTGATGCTTCTTATGGCCTTGTAATATGTTACTATTTCTTGAAATAAATAAATAATAATAATAATAATAAGCTTTATTTCTATAGCACTCAACAAATAAAACACAAAAAAGCTTTGACATTTCACCCTAAAATATCAGTGGAGATGCAAGTCAGTGTGTTTTGTGCTTCCTTGAAACATCTATGACAGAAGTGTCCACTTGAAACCAAAAATGAATGTTTAATCCTATACTCATATATGGTGTACCTGAAGTTCACCATATTTCATCCATTTAATTTCTACACAGCTTTTGTTAATATAAATAAATAAAAAGTAGCTTTCATCCTATTAGCTGTTTAACCATGATAATGCTGACTGGCTGGACATGCAACAGATTTTTTTTTTGACCAATCATTGATAATATCAAATGCTGCAGTCAAATCCGAGAGTTCCACACCAACAGTGTTTTTATTTTCTTTTTTTTATAACCAAACATCTGTCTGTCAGGTTTGCCCAGTGGCACCTTCCTCTCTTCTTTTCCTCACACTAGTAAGCTCCCGTGCACTGATTGCACGATCCGACACACCTGCCCCGCTCCACTGATTATCATCAGCTGCGCCTCGTTAGTTTCCCTCCTTATTTATACACTGCTCACCGATCACTCCCCTGCCAGTTCTTTCTCTGTCTTCAGGCCCCCATGTACGTCAACGTTGTCTCTTTGTGACAAGTGTGTTTTTCTGTAACCCGAGTTTCTGTCCTGCCCCGCCATGTCTGGTTTTCCTCCTTATCGGACCTCTCCTCTGGACCCTGGTTTCCCTCAGCTTTACCAGCCACTGCCTCACAGGTCAATGCACAGTCTCCGTTAATCTGTCTCTCTGCTGTTCTCTCCCCTTAGTCATCATCTTCATCCACCCGACCAGCCCAGGAGTGACGCCATCATCCGCAGCCCGGCCCATCATCACTCCATTGACTATTTTTTTCCTGCTACCGCTGATTGACACCCGGTCCTCTCACTACTCCTCTCCGCCTCTATATATTTTTGCACTGTTGACACTGTTAATAAATCTCACTGCTTGCACCGAAGCCAGCTGCCTGGGTCCGTTAATTTCTCCGCTCGTTCATCAGTGTGTCGAGCGTTCATAACATCTAGGTTCCTTCCCTTAACACCAAACCTGCCCATCACCTCCTCATCACCTTTGTTCCCCTCACCAACGTGCCCGTTTAAGTCTGCCCCAATCACCACTCTCTCCCCTCTGGGAATACTCTCCATCACCTCATCTAACTCACTCCAGAATCTCTCCTTCTCTTCTAGCTCACACCCTACTTGTGGGGCATAACCACTGACTACATTCAACATTACCCCTTCAATTTCCAACTTCAAACTGATCACCCTATCTGACACTCTTTTCACCTCTAAAACATTCCTCACAAGCTCCTCCTTCAGGATCACTCCTATCC